TTCAATAAAATAATATTTTCCATCACATCAATATTTTTTTATTCTTTTTCAACCACACATTTCCCAACATATCACTATTCAAAAATCAATTCTTCCCTCAAAAATCCCTACCAAACACACTCCAACTTTGTTAAAAAAATTAATAATTGAGACAAAATAGAAGAGCTTAATTTTCATACTAAATTCAAAATTTATTTAGTTTTTCATACAAGCACAAACAAAAGATACATTAAAGTCACCAACACAACAATTGAAGAACCGAAAAATATATTAAGCGACGGGCGTCGAAGGATTACACCTGAAAGTTTTAAGAAACGGACACAAATTAACAAAACCAGTCATTAATTTCTCCAAATCCAAGATTCTTCAAGCTTAGTAAGCTTGAGAACCGGTGGTATGCTGCTGTCCGAATTGCTCCGCCTTGTCCTTCATCTCCCGAGCCTTAGTAGCCAGCTTCGTCCGCGCCTGATCAAGCTGATCCGCACCAGGAGGGTGTTTCCCGGTGACGTATCGATAAATCCACGACAGAACACTAACAGCAGCCACTCCAAATCCACCAGAAGCAAGGAAACCCGAGCTCAACAAGAAAATCGTTATGGCCGCCGGCACCAGCACCGGACTGAAAATTACGAGCAAAGGAGTGGCTAGAGTGAGAGCAATCACAGTTCCAGCCAGAGTCAAGCCAGAGAGGACTAGGAGAGAACCACCCGCAGTTGCAGCGGTGGCGGCTTTCACTATCTGATGCGAGCGCGGCTGCTGCGTCCCGTCATGGTACTGCTCAGTCATTTTTGCGAACCTGAAGTCGTCAACGAAAATTATTTTGAAGCAAAAGCGGAATTGAATGCATTATATAGAAAGGGAGGAGGGGTACGTGTTGGACACGGGGTGTCACGTGGTGGAGAGCTTGACATGCAAGAGTTGCATGTATTGAAGAGGTGTCTCTGTGGAGACACGTCAAATTTTGTAAGTATATGTGATGTGTAGAGACAGAGTGTCTAGAGAGGGGTATGAGATTTGAAGATTATCCCAAAATGAAAATAGCCCCGAAATTAAAATTTTAGTAAATTTTTAAAAAAAATCATGAAATATATAATTAAAAATTTCTATACGATCTAATGTAATTTACTAAATGCAACATAGATTGACAACACCGTATTTCTCAAATAACTCTGAAAAATGCCTCTCTAACTTGCTTCAACAATTATGTATGCCACTTATGGTGTAAAATGTTTATTAACTACGACTACTATTATTATTATCATTACCCGTTGGAGGCAGGGATTGTCAAAAGTATAATTTGTTTGATTGTAGCTAATTCTTTTTATAAATGATCATATATATCTTCTACAATATTTAAAAAGTTAGGATTAAAGAGAATTGGCAATAATACCCTCATTAATTTTGTATAATTCCAAATTCATCCTTCAATTATTATTAGAATTGAAAATGTTTTATAATTTACCATTCAATTATTATTTGAATTTATAAATTATAACTCAATATGGGCAGGTTTTGAATGTGAATGACTATCTGTACACTTTCATTCATCGAGTATCCCTCTCTATCTTTACAAGTCTAATGCCTACAAAAACATCAGAAAGCTAGTAAAGTTATTAGAAATATGCTACATGTACAGTCCTTAGTGGACTATACATTTACAGCTCACGATGATTAGTGTGGGCCCCACTAATTAACTGTACAGGGGGCTTTTCTAAAGTTTGAATTAATTTAATTCACCAGGAACCACTATACAAATATGAGAGAAGTAAAAAAGTGGTCAATGCATGAAGTTCAATGTTCAATTGATTCCACAAAGTAAGGATAATGTAAGTAACAAAGTGACGTTTTTTAGTCCAAAATCATTCTCACATAAACTAATATTTACTATCAATTTTATTCTAATTCTGGCTTGAATCTAAAATAATGTGATGAAAACTTAACAAATCAAAATTTAGTAGTAACTAATTTATCTTAAATTAATCTAACTTAATCTAATTAACCTAATTTGTGTAGACCTATTTGGATTAAGTGGTTAGTATTCTGCTTTCACCCATTTTCATATGTTTAATATTCAATCAAATACTGTGTTATTCAACCCATTTTCATATGTTTAACAATGGAATTAGCATATTTAATTAGTAATCTCTCTCTAACAAAACTAACTTTATTCACATGCTCGAATTTAATATATTTCTATGTAAATTCATGTAAGTGTAAAAGCATTCAATTGTAGGAATTCTATTAAAATTGCATATTCTATAATCATGTCACGATCTCTGATAGCACCTATGTTACTTATTACACGAATTAGAGAAATATATCTCATCTCTATCTCAATATTGTCCTTAATGGAAATAATTGGTGATCAAACAATTGAATGTACTTAAACATACAATAAGAAATTGACACAATCAAATTGACATAAAATGTATTGAATTAAATAAAAATTAACCTAAACTGCATCGTTCATCTTAACAACTAATTATTTAGCCAATTATAATTAAACAATAAAAAAAGATTAAAAAAAAAAAAGAACGACAGGTTCAATACAAGGAATGAAGAAAAGAATCCTAGCAATTGTTGTTTCTTGGTACTCAATTTCCAACAATTGATCCTCAATCTTCTCTTCAAAGCACATATATCTCCCGGTCAAATATGTTCTTCAATCTTCAAATCTCAAATTGATATACAAATCTTGAAAATTTAATGTATTTCTATGTATAATCTTGTCGCAAGATTCTATCTCTAACCTCCCCTAATTTTGAATGAAAGATTCATATTTATAGACCTAAATTATCTCTAAAATAGAGTCCCAAGAGGATAGGGAACCATAATTTTTGTCCAAGTAGGATATCTCAACTTGTCGAAATTTAATCTATCCTTGTGCAATTTGGTCTCTATTTCCTACTTTAATGAGTCCTTAAATTTTGCATATGAAGTCCTTAAACTTTCAAACGTAACTACTTGATCCCCAACTTCTAAAATATGTCCAACATTACTCATTTTTGATCAATTATTGCCCATTTTCGTCGAATCCCAAGCTTTCTTCTAAAATAATCAGAAAATATATGAAGTTAGTATCTAGTCTAGTTCATAAAATTACACCCATAATTTATGTTTTTACGATCAAGATAAGTGTAATTACATTTATCATTCATCTTCAACATAATAATAATAATAATAATAATAATAATAATAATAATAAAATTAGAACGCATTAACATTTTTAATATATAAATCGAGAAACAAAATCATATTGCTTACCTCATAAACATCCATTTTGATACAGTTTTTATGTGTTTATATAAATATACACATTCTGTCATAACATTAATGTTCATAGAATGTTGAATTGAACATGAAGAATCAGGTTTCAGATTATTTAGAAGAAAAATAAAATAAAAAAACTAAGACAATACTTACATAGATTTTGAGAGAGAGAGAGAGAGAGAGAGAGAGAGAGAGAGAGAGAGAGAGAGAGAGATGGAGTATTTTTATAATTGATGATTGAAGTATGAATCTTTATTGAAAAAATGTATGAAATCATATCTATAATATATTAAATATCATATCAAGTGAGAATCAATTTTGGACGATTTTAATCCTACTACATTTCAATTATTTTAATAATACTTTATTTTTCGTTTTTCAACATGTAATAAATATTACAAAATCCTTGTTATGTATGAATTTCTTGTTATTAATTCTCAATTAATTAACATTCACATTAATCTAGAGTTATTATAGATGCATTTATTTCTATTCATATATTTAAAAATTTTAATGAATGTTTAAATTCATGTATTAACAATTAATTCTTATGTACTAAATGTAGCATAAAAAAGTTGCTCATTTGTACTATTTTATCATAACAAAAAAATTTGAATCATTGAAATTGAATTTTGATAATACTTTTGTCTTTTCTTAAATTTTTATCATAAATTTTATTTTTTTTAGTTTGTTTGAGACTTATCAAATCTTCCAAACAAATTGGTATCAAATATTACTTTTACCGCACATATAAAGTATTTCAAAATAACGTGCAATACACGGTGAACTCTGACTAGTTATCATAAATGATTATTTAAAACACGAGAGAAATCAAAATTTGGAACTTTGTGAGAGGAAAAGATTAGTAAAACAATTCAATAAGTGTAAGAAGTATCTGTTACAATTTTTTAAAGAGCAATGTTATTCAATCCCAGTGTACTCAGCACCTAGATGGCTCCACAATGGCACTCAGATCCACATCCTACATGGCAAGTTATAGTCATTTTTAAAACTAATAAATATAATGTATTCTCTCAAAATGATGTTGACCTTTTAAATTCCCAATGTCATTAACAACATTTATTTTTATCTCTTCATTTCACTGTAAAAGCTTTTTTTTCTTTGACCACTACCATCACTTTCTATTCTCTCAGTACCCAAATCGGTTCATATTCGATCGAAAAACAATAAGAGTAATGCTATTCATCCCCACTGGGGATGGAAACACAGTCTACATGGCATTAATGTGGCATTAAATGATAGGTGAAATTAAATAAGTCATTTAATTTCAACTTTCATTTAACCTATCATTTAAAACCATGTAGACTGTTTCCATCCCCACTGGAGATGAATAACATTACTCAAACAATAAAAAGAAACAGAAGACCAAGAATCACCATTGTCGGAGGTGGAGGAAGGCACTATAATTATTGGATGTACCTGGTTTTGTACAAAACTCTTTTTTCATTTTTGCGAGCCTTCCTGCTTGTGCTTCCAGTTCCAAGGTAAATTCCTGCCATAACTCCATTCATGTTAAAAAGTTATTAATGGAGAATATGTAGTAAATAAAAATATGAATTACGATGATTGATGAAAAATGTGTTTGTTGTAGTAATGTTTTTATTTACTGTTTGTATTTTCATGGATTACAAAGTGATTGAGATGATGAATGAAAAATGCAATATGTTGGATATGAGTCATGAAGAATATGTGGATGAAAGAGGCAAACAAAAAATTGGTTTCTTGAGAGAAGATGCAAGCACCTGATGTTGGAATGCTTTTTAAATCACTGGACAGTCTTTTTGTGTACTATAAACTATATGGGAAACAAGAAGAGTTTGGAGTTAAAAAAAAAACATAACGATCATCTAGGGATTTAACTATTGTCTGCTTGTTATGTTCTCTAGCCGAAAATTCAACATGTCAAAAACTAAATTACATCAATCCTAATCCATTGACGAAAGTGGGGTGCAAAGCTAAGGTTAATGCTTCTATATTTAAAGATATGAAGTGCAAGATTAATTCCATTATCCTTGAGCATAATCATGGGTTGAGTCCACAAAAATCACGATTTTACTCGTGCAACATGGAACCTAGTTCATGTGCTAAAAGAAAAGTTGAATGGAATAATCAAGCTAGGATTGGATTGACATAGAACCATCGAGCATTTGTAGTGGAAGATGGGGTACATGATAATGTTTCATTTTTGAAGAAAGATCGTAAAAATTACATTGATAAAAAAAGGAAGATTGCGACTTGGTATTGGAGATGCTGAAGCAATCAATAATTATTTTGTTCAGATGCAAGTCAGGCTTCTTTTATATGATAGATGTAGATGACAATGCTCGAATTAGGAACTTATTTTGGGTTGATGCAAGGAGTAGATCAGCTTATGAAGAATTTGGCCATGCGGTTATATTTGACACAACCTACTTAACAAAAAAGTATGACATGCCCTTTGCACCTTTTGTGGGTATAAACCACCATGGACACTCAATTTTATTCGGATGTGGGTT